CAATTATCCTTTCTGCAGACTTAACTATCCGTTGGAGTCTGAGTCTGTCCTGTTTGGTTGTGGAATCAAACCATATCCTTCAATATGTCCAATGTTAAAATATTTTGCTTCATTCTATAACTGTAAGTCAAGTTTGAGTGCTCTTCTCCTTTAATTATAATCTTTAGTTCCCTCTTGTTCCCTCTAGTGCCCAATCCTTAAAGTACTTACTATGTTTTTTTAAAAAAAATCGAAACAAAAGCATTTTCCCATGGGAAGGATTAATTATAATTAATTCCAAAAACTTATTTCAAATTTATCTGGACCTTTAGTCCATTTGTCAACATTCCAAAATCAAGGTTTTAATCACCATTTTACTGTTTACTCCAAAGAAAAAATTTAAGTTCTTATTCTTGTAGTTAAGTTCTTTCACTAAGGATTGAAGGAAATTCACCCAATGCTGTAAAACTTGTCGATCCAAAGTTTCTAAAAGTTGAAGAGCAGTTAACAGGCAATTTCTAAAAGTGATTAGAAAAGGAAGTATGCAAACTTAGTGTCCTTTCAAAGGCGCTGACTGCAGTTTGAGCAAGATGGCTATTCCCTCATCTCCCAGAGCTCTAAACCCGCCAGAGACTGCTGTCTTGCAGTCTCCTCATGAGGAACAACAATGAGATCATGTGGGTGATCTCAAGTCCTCTTCTTGTCTGGAGAGGAATGATTGAAGAGCCAGCTCTTCATTCCACTGCAGTTGTCAGCTGTGCTTTTCACTGAGCTGTCTTCAGTCCACTGTTTCTTCCCCGGAAGCCACGTGCTGCACCAACTTCTGAAAGTAGATGAAAGTGTAATTTCCATCCCCCAAAGAGAAGCTGTATGGATTTAGCTATTCTCAAAAAGACACCAGACCAACATGTGACTATTTATTCAGATCTGGGTTTCATCCTCACCCACCAGCTCAATTGACAATCCATACAGGATCTCACTTGGAATTGCATTCACATAATACACTAAGCCATGGTTGGCTAACCTTGGTTTATGTAATAAATGTAAGGCCCAGTTGGCAAACCAGACCAAGAAATCAACTCCACAGGAAGGCTAAAAGTACTTTTATTGAGATTGGCTACAGTAAGAGAATCTTGTAAGCCTGATTTAGCTGTACTGCCCCCTACTCCTACTCCAATGAACTAGGGAGGTGTCTGTCTGAGCTGCTTCCAAATATTATGTTTGTTGTGGACTTAAAATATATTTCACCCCCGTCACCCTGACAATGGATCTTGCATATCTTCATTAAGATCATCTTCCTAACTGCCTAAAATAAACCACACCATATATATAAAACACTAAATCATAATACATGTGTTACAAGTCATGCTGAACAAGATCACACAGAACACAAACAGATTAGTGCAGCACTTATGGTGTTGGACTTCAGCTGGGGAGGTGCAAATCCCTCTTGACAGTGGAGTCCAATGGTCAATTTTAAGCCAATCATCCTCTTAGCCCAGCTTACCTCATAGAGACAGCATTATTGTAGGGACAAATGAGGGGAGATCTCCATGCAAGACACCTTGATCTCTTAGTGAAACAGCAGGATATAAATGCAATAAATCCTTTTAAAATCAAAACTGTGCTTAGCCTGTTAGGGGAATCACATGCTAAAAATCAACCAGGGCAGAAGGAGACTCATCTAAGCTTCAGAACCACAGCCCCAATACACCTCACAAGATGGAGGATGAGTTCTTGGCTCAAGATGGAGTTACAAATTTGTGGAAGAGTTGTCATCCAAGAGGTCAATCAATAGCAATGAGGCCATATTCCTTGAGCATCATCAAAGAGAAATTGAGGCTATATTCCTTGAGCACAAACTTCTTGAGATGTTGTGTTCCTGTCATCTCTTTCTTTCTCCTGAGGCATCTTGTCAGTTGCTGTGAGAATTAGGAAGCCAGGTGAGACAGACCCCATCTTACGAAGTATGATTAATTACTGATAGCTGCAGTTTGATTAATTACTGATTAGCTGCAGTGGGCAAAAAAATGGAACCTCCATGTTCGGAAGTGAGACTAAGGCTGCTTCAGAGTGCCATCTTCTGGAGAATAAGGACCAGTGGAGGATTGTGGCTTTTCTGGCAGGCTTGGGAATTTACTAAAAGACTCTGGTGGGCTGTTGTTGGAAACTCGATGCCAGGTGCATCAAGGCATCTTTAAGAACTTACAAATATACAGTATACACATAGCCGCTGCAGTTAAACAGAACTATGTGGAGACACAGTTTATCCCTGGTTATTAGTTGCTGGAGGACAAACAGCTGTTGCTCAGAGAGGCGTCCAAAGGGAAAGTCAAAAAAGGCTAAGAGGGCAGCCATGGCCATTTATTTATGTGCATGCAATGCATGTTGAAAAAAGAGTGAGGTTTCATCATAGTCACAATCACCATCTTGGTTTTTTCTGACTCTCCCCACCCATGGATGCTTCTACTCTCCCAATCTAACTTATGGCTTTCCCTGACACAGCTAGCCAGCTCAGTTCAGCAGGGATATTTCTATGCTTTAATAGAGGGTAGAGCTTGCTGTTAATATTGCTCAAATGGCTAAATAAAGCTTCCACATGCAGGGCCCATCTGCCTCTTATTACAATGTTTTTCAGCCTTGGTGACTTTAAGATGCGTGGACTTCAACTCCCAGAATTCCCCAGCCAGCATGCTGGCTGGGGAA